CAATATAGATTCAAATTCACCTAGAAAAAAATCAAAACCAAACGATGTTTTTAGTGATGGATCTAATGTATTAAAATTAAATGAACTGAAAATTGGTGACTGGGCATTATTTAATTTAGACAAAGATGTAATTCCAACAAGCTTCAAGGCAAACGAACAAAATGGACAGTTCATAGCAAATGTGATAGGTTTTCGATATATTGATGAGAAAAATCGCCCAAAACAATACAAAACAGGACTTGTGATGATTGATGAAATTGAAAAAATAGGTGATAAGAAACACATAGAAATTTTAGCCATTTGGTATATATTTTAGCCATTTGGGGCAGAACAAAATTTTGAAACAATGTAATGGCAAATTAATAATTGGAATTGAAAAGTATATCGGTACAATTAAACCGCCGCTCGCTAAAGTCGATATAAATGGTGTTAATAATGTTTTAGATTTTGAATATTGTGAACTGAATACATTTATTCTTAATTCCTAGCCCTAGTCCTAGCCTGATTCAAAATAACACCTTAGATAACACCACAATAAAATGTACTTCTGTAGGTGCTTCTTATATGTAGTTGACACAATACATACAATAAACGCTAGAATAAACGAAATAATAGTCAATTCATAAACTAAATGTGTAGTGGTTTTTTGTGTTGATTTGTGTATGTCCAAACGCTAAGTATACCAATATTCAAAAAGAAATTTGGTTCCAGATTTCCGTTTCAGAATAATCCCACCTAGACTGATATGGTCATCAGTTGATCACAATGGTGAATTTTACTCTGATTTAGAATTACTACCGTTGCTAAGTAATTATGAAAATTGAAGAATGGATTAATGAAACAACTTTTCGATAAATAGTAGAAAATTGTCTAGAAATTTGTCTTTAATAGTTCGAATATTTTGATCAAGATAATGTGTTCAAAATGATTTTCTTTTCATTTAATAAAACTAAACAAATTCGTGAAACTGTAATAATATGACATTATAGTTCAATCAACATAATGTAGAGACGCAACTTTTACTAAATCCTAGGATGAATCTTTTACGTAACAAATTAGAAAAAAACTCTGCCTGCAAATGAACCATTTGATCCTTTTTTGAGATCATTTTTGAGCGTTTTCACTTACGTTTCAATAAGTACACCTAGAAGTACACTTTAATGGACTATTTTAATTGAAAAAAGGTGAGAAACTGTTTGCTTCTGGACTTGCTTTCAATGAATACTGTTAACCTAGATAAATTAGTTGTCTCTATTGTCATTATCTCAGATAGTTTTTATAATAAATTTTGTTTTGAAAAAAAAAAACAAAATCGTGACGAATTTGGTAACGTCCCACTAATGATCTTCGGCAACTTATCGTCGCGAAATTCTGATCATGAGCTGACCGTTTCGAATTTCAAAATGAAGTCGATGTTGGCCACGATTAGGATCATTGATAGATAACGGCACATTTATAATTTGTTCTTGACGGAGATTTCGAGAAGTAGCATTGATGTTGGCATTAATGGGTCTTCCGGCCGATGCTAGGGCCGATGTTGAGCTGGATGCTGCGTTTCGAATGGGCACCGGGGAAGGACGACTCGAGACAGAATTTGAGTTCAATGTCTGTAGGCTTGTTATGGCAGAATCTAATTGTAATCGCAGCTGCTGGAACAACGTGACCATCGTAGAGCTATTCCCAGCACTATTCTGATTCGTTTCCGCGACTTCAGCGAATGTGACGAAAATTCGGGAGAGTACTCCAATCCGTGATCTGCAGCACGGGCATAGCCCATTTCTGTAAATGGAAAAAAAATAAATGAAAATCAATTATTCAGATCCATTCAAATTAAGATTCAAATCCAAATGATTTACGCTGATTGAGGTTATGTCGAAGTTTTCAATAGAAATACCAACAAATTTATACTCACTGCACTTGAACAATGCACGCATAATGGAACAAATGGCCACAAGAGAGACTATCAATCCGCCGTTCATCAAATAAATAACTACGACAAATTCCACAAATGGCTCGTGACGACATGACTGTGATTTTGTTTGTTGTAATGATTACTGCAACTAGCTGGAAAAAAATAAAATGATCAACAAAAAACACTAAGAATACGACATTTTAAATTATCTAGTTGTTGATCATCATTTAAATATATCTAAGTTAGACTGAAATTCAGTCGAAAAAAAAACAGAGAATAGCTTACCTTAAGTTTGCGTTTGAAAAAACTATGACCGGCAAAAAAGCGATTACAATGAAAAATGATGTTCGGTATAACCTAGGGTATAACAAATGTCTAGACAAATGTCAAATGTACTTTCATTTAGTAAGTAAATGAAAGCAAATGTCAACTGGTTCATTTGACAAACGAATGAATAGACGAATGATTAAGTACTATTTGAATCTAGATTTGAATGTTTTTTTTTCAAGTATGAATGTTTTTTATTCTATTATCAACGAAAAGGAACAAAGGCTACACAAACTATCGAAATTTATTTAGTTCCGTATTTTTTGGTTGATCTTGGGTTTTACAAAAGATTGGGATTTACGACGCTTCTTACATTTTCGATCTCTTTGTTACTTAGACCTGAAATAGATGAAATTTCATATTAAAGTTTATTATTTCACACATTTCATTTCTTTTTTAATTTAATCCAGATTTTAATTACATCCCATTTTAATTTTTTTCGTTGAATAAGTAATAGAGATTTTTCCTACAATATTTCACGCCAAAAAATTACATTCTTGATCACACTAAATATCACATAAATTAGATCACGATACAAAGTTAGATACGATTTGTGTGATTTTATATGAAAATCGAAGATTAGAATTAGAGTACTGTCCAAATTACGGATAGTTTTGGTCGTTGTTTCTAGCAACTACTAATGCTTTTATAAGGAGCATTTCTATCTATGCTATGTTGTATACTTATATTAATAATAAACGATATGAATCTAGATATGAATAATTGGAATTTTAAAGATGCAAGCTATGATGCAAGCTTGTTTTATTTCGACTGGTTATTATCTGGGCTATTTCCTAATGTCCACGCTTGTTTTCACAGTATTTTTCAATCAAATGTCTGATGCGTTCAACTCTTTCTTCGTTATTAGTTCGAATCCGCACAATATCTGGAAAAAATCAAATTAATTGAATTATTCTAGGAATTTTTATTTATTATTCTAACTTACGAAGCACAAAATCCCAAACATTTTGTTCAATTTGCCCATTTGCAATTTGCTCATCTAAAACAACCGATAAGAAAACTGACAAACCAAATGGGTAATCAAAGGTGCAATCATCTCCATTTGGAGCTGAATTCCAGTTCAATAATTTAGCCAAGACATCTTGATGAATTTCAATGAAGCGATTACCAATTTTGTAAACTCGTCCATTTTTCTGAAAATATCAAACAAAAAAAATTCGTTCCAAAGACAATTCACTAGGAGTAGCACTAGACAATTCATTTCATTGTTAGTCTCATTCTAGGTCTCATTGTATTGATTTTTTCTAGGATTTTTCATTGTTTTCCATGCAATTGTTCGCTCTTCCGTTATTTTGGTCAGTTGAACGCTAGGTTGAACGACTGTGCCCCACATTTCCCTATCTCTTTAATTTTAAAACAACAAGAAAAAAGTGCACTAAATTACAATTCAACCTACTGTGTTTGTGTATGGGATGTCATGCGACAAAGGATCTCCCTCACGTTTTGTGAGGGAGTCCAGTGTCGTTTGCAGTGGTCGAGGTACATCGTTTCCAACCATTATACAATCATTATCACTAGCATTATTATCATTCGCACAGCTTTGAACACTTATGTTTGAGGTATGGCCTTGAGTGTTGTGTAAAATCTCTTCTAAACTTCTTGCGTTTTTGCGATAAAGACTGAAAATTGGTTCTGGCTCATTTTTGATAGTCATCGTTAGATTAATATCAGCTAAAGTATCAGAGCCTGAAAAAATAAAATAAATGAAATTTAGACTTAAATTCAGTTTATCAAACAGTAGAACCGAAAAGTAATAGGTAAAAAATGTCAATGGTTTTTTTAAAAACCTGTTATCTAATAATCTAAATTACATTACGTACATGAAAAACGCCGAGACCTAGGCCGAGACGTAGGTTGTTGTGCATTTCGAAAGCCGCTTAAGCTTAGGCTAGATGAATCGTATGTCATGCTTTGGCGTCAATATGATGAAATGAATGGGATGTTCTGAAGTCCAGGTCTAGTTTCAGGAGACATTGGATTGGAGTTTGGAGCTGAAAGAATGTGTATTACTAATAACTTATCGTCATTTTTTCATAGATTTTTCGTATCATGCTTACCTAGCTCTGAGAATTGAGGTCTAGATTGAGCTGATAGTGTTGTAGCCGCCGAAGATTTAACCAAGTCCTGAACAGTATTTTCTTGTGGAGAATCAGTGTCCACTAGAGTGTCTGCAGAAGTGTCCATTTGCGTGTCATTACAATTTTCACTTTGATTGCATGGTGCTGAAAAAAAAAATTGATTATGATTTTTATTATAGATTTAGGCATTCGATATTTTGTGCAGTTGAATCATGATAGGAATCACGTATTAATTGATACTTATGATTGATTTACGGGCAAAATTGCTCACATTTTTGGCCTAGTTTTTGGCGTCAACGATGTTGAATGCCATCGAGCTAGCCATCGAGAAATGCAATTCAATAAGAATGTAATTCGATCTAGCATTCGATAAATAAAATCAATTGCTAAATAAAGACGAAGTGTGACTTGTGTGTATGATTTCTAAATTATTTTTGAATTTTTTTTAATTGATTGGTGTACATAATGTTACCATTATTACTACTCATTGTTCATTCATTAATAACTACTTTAATTGATGTGACAGTCTTACACTGTTTAAAAAACTTGAACTTTTTCACAAAGTAAAAATTACCTGGTACTGATTGAGTTTGAGCTGTTGGTGCTGTAGCTCCAATACTGGCACTGGTGGCCATCGTCTGTGGCAACACCAAAGATCCAGCTTAATCTCGAACAGTATTTTCTTCTTGACAATCAGAGTCCACTCCAGTGCTACCTCCAGTGTCCACTAGAGTATCCATTCGTGTGTGAGTTAAGGCGTCACCAGACCTAGCACCAGACATTTCACCTCTAGTTTCACCTTGATTGTCTGCAGCTGAAAAAATATTTACGATTTAGATTAGGATCACCCTTGAAATTGATTACCTTTGAAGTCTAGTTTGAAGCTATCAAATATAAAATTCGACCAAGCCATGAACCAAGCCTTTTCGGCTAGCTTTTCGGTATTGTCGATCAAACGAACTTTTTTTACTTTTCGAGTTTTATACAAATAATGTGATTTGCCTGGAGACCGGAGCGTTATTCCATGGCTTATAACTCAAGCTGAGTGAAAGATTCCTCACTTTCATGACGAGAATAACTTTCGGAGAATTCGAATTTCCTGATTTGACAAAGTGATAGATCTCACTGTTCAGAGAAACTCAGAATATTGTATAAATACATCATTTTTTTCATTGGTCTAGCTCTAGTAAGAATGTTTCAAATGAAAAAAAATCAATACTTTTTTTTTATCGAACTGATTGTGATTCATCAACAATATGAACATGAAATTTGTTAAGTTCATCTCAAACGTCAATGTGTTTTGTTGTACAGAACAACGCTAGGAACAACGCTTCATTGGATGTACAAAACGTCAGAGCGAATGAATCGCAACCCAGATCGCAACAGTTTCAAGCTAGGTTTCAAGAAACTGTTTGTGAAACGATAACGCTGTGTGTGTCAAACATAAATCAATTATTTAGCCGATGGTCATAAAGAAATATTTAAGTAAATCAACACATTGACAAGTTTCTATCGAAAATAAACATCAATGTTTTTGCCTCGCCAAACAAGAGATTATTATTGGCAAATCAAAGATGCATGGGAAGCAATCGTTTCAACGAAATGTAAACATATAGATGCTAGAATAGATGTTTATAATTCCTATGAAAAAAAGACTCAATTATAAAGCTGTCGAACTTCATCTCTGTCGCTTTCTCACTTACTGCTACAATCCCTTTATTGGTGTGCTTGCCGTCATCAATGCAAGCAAATACAATTTCTCAATTAATTACCTGGCAAACAATTCATCCGAAAAAATGTTGATACACGTTCTTGTATACGTTGACTTGAACATAATTTCGCCCGTTCATGCAATCGCTGCTGATTGTAAAGTTTTGGTGACACATTTCTTCGTCGCATTTTATATACCATTGCCTCTCGAAAGTTGACTGGAAATTAACAAAAACAAATTATTTTCTCAATATTAATTTGCAATGAACCATAAGAATTCAATCTAGAATTTAGTTCAATTATTCAAATTCAATAATTACAGATGAATTTTTGTATGCGGCAATGATACCATCCTTCACTTGGAAAGTGGTTAAATAGACTGGCATGGGCATTTGGTTGGTAATCGACACGCGGTATTCCGTTATCAAAGGCATCAACATTGTCGGTATAAAAAACCTCAAACAGCTTTCCTCTGTTTATCCCGTTGTTGATAATATTGTGCATATGTAAATCCAATTTGATCCATGTATATGGAACGACGACATGCTCACGCTTTTCCAAAATATAAACGATGAAATACATTTTGCGAAATTGGGACTATAGATTGGGTCTAGGGTTGGGTTCGTTTTGATCTGTTTTTCTATGGAGAAAAAAATCATGGACTAGATCATGGAAAAAGAAAAAAAATTGAATTAATGTTGAGCATCATTTCTATATAGATCAATATTTGTCAAAGAAAAATATAAACTAGAATAAAAAATTCAAGTGGATTCAGTAAATATTAATCTAGATATTAATAGAATCGCTTACTCTAGCACGTCAGTTAGCACATTTTGTACTTCCGATAAAACATTGGAAGGCTTGGCACGCTCAATATCAGGTGACTGTACAGTGTACACTAGACTTAGCACTAGACTGAACGTCTAGCTCTAGGTCTAGCTGTTCGTTATCTATTGCGGTATTTTCAAGGTTATTTTGAGCACATGTAAAAATATGCTTGCAATAATTGCTTACTCTCCAGCACGTATCAAACGTGCAAGTATATTTGATTGGACAAAAAGGGCACTTGGCGGAACACTTTACGTTGTTATTAATGTTCGAAAAATTGGACAAGAGATTAACATTGGTTTCAATATCCAATGTAATTTTAATGTTTCCTTCTGAGTATTTGTTCTCAAAATATAAGTTGATTCTTCTAACGAAAGACTTTTGCAGGTCATCTATCGCGGGAATTTGATTATCACGCTTACTTTTTTCTAATTGTTTGTTTGATAAATAGTCATTCAAGTCTTTTGGTATACGCAGTAATAAAGATTCATGGCCTATCTTAAATTTGAACGGTATTATTTTTAAATTGCCACTTTCGTCGACGTATGATGTGCCTGCTACTAATTCTGGGTTTTCACTTATCACTTCTTCTATTCTTTCGATTTCAGTTTTGTCTAAAGTTTTTAGTGCGGCGGCTGTATCGAAAGCGTTTTCTACTAAAATTCTTTTAATGAAAATTGGATATTGATTTTTATTGAAATTTTCAAGCTGAGAAAAGATAAAACCGGACCGCTTCATGTCATACCGAATGATTTAAATGGTGAAACGCGTATGAAGGCTTGAAATAAAATTTGAGGCTATGTTTGCGTACGAAGTTTATAAAGGTGGCAGCAATGAAAAGGGTCGGTAATACAAATTCTCGTAATTTTTTCTACTCACATAAATTCACCAAACTCCTCAATATTCATTCAATTCAAATGAGAGAGTTTTCGTGAATTCATGTGAGTTTCAGCGTGCAAGAATGGATTTTACCGGATCATACGTCAATAGAATAAATACTTGTTGTTTTTGAATCATTTTTTGAGTGCGTGAAGCCCCTAGACTCGTGCTACCCTATTCATTTTGTCAAAAATCAATGAGTGCGTCCAATGATATAATACCAACTTAACGGAGTCAAGTTTAAAACGTCACCGTTCGTCACGAGCTTTGTTATTTACGTTTATATGTTGTTCTCGGTTGTTCTACACACTATAGTTATTTTTTGTGCAGTGAAATAATGCTAAAAGTTTCAGTTAATCTATTTTTGAAAAAAATTCGTTGAATATAACATCAGATTCAGAGCATTCGGCAATGTAGAACCGTGAAGAAAAAATATCAGTGTTGTGCGGTGTTGTGTGCAAAAAATAAAACGCGAGGAAGAGATAGATAGATTATTATACCGCAACATTTCGTCATAATTGCGCAATAGCTTACAACTTTACGTTACTTCACGTTACTTTAAGTTTTGTCGACTGTTATCGACTGTTATGAACCGGCTGGAGCCGACTAAAATCGTTGACAATTTTGCTGCAAATATTGCGAAATATTGAAATTCAATTTTGTCTAATTTTCAGTAATATTAACGAATATTAATGTTTGCTAGCCTCGGCTACGCTCGGCTAGCCTTTATTTTTCAGAGTGTCCATCGGTGTATATAGCGATCGATACGAGTCGATAGCGGTCTATTGAAATCGCATGAAAATGTCTTCGAATGCACAGAATATTAGGAAAAAGTATTGCAAGATTATTGGTTGTCCCAATTTCAACGGAATAGAAGCAACGGATAAAAATGTTGTTATGTTCAGGTAAGATATCGTAAGATATCGTAAGATATACATCGATACCGACCGATGTGTGGGAAGAAAAAATGCTGTACGTTTGTGGCCATTTGTGGCAGTTTCGTCGGTTTTGCACCATTCGGAAGTAATCTGCATGAAACGGCATGAAATCATAATTTTACCAATTTGTGTATTCATACGATTCTATCGGATTTTACATTTCACCCACATTTTAGGATACCTCAAGATCATATGATGCGTGGAAAATGGATTAAATCCATTAAATCACACCAAACATTCTTCGATACTGATGGAAAGACTGTATACTATTCAGTTTGTTCAAATCATTTTGAATCATCACAATTATATGCAGGAAAGAATTTACGATTAAGATCAGGAGCTCTTCCAACTATCTTTCCAACAATTACACAAACGGAGGAAACAACTGTAAATAATGAAGAAGAAATAATAAACCCAATCAATTTTGTGGACGTAGATGAAGTTCTCCCAATTGATGGTCGCACGAAGTAAGATTAATTCTAGATAGAATTGTGTCCGAAAGTGTTTGTCTTAAACTGATTTTTGCGGGTTTTTGGGATTATTGCAGACGATTGCGGATTATTGAATGAAAATAAAATTATTTTCTTTTTGATTTGGAATCGTATACTGCTTTAAATAAGTTTCGATCCCTTTTGACATGTTGAATCAATATGGAAGAGATTGGAAACTTATTTTAACGAGTATACAAAAAAGCCGAAAAAAGCCAAACATGTTATTAGGTGATGGTCACGAATTAATCCAAGGAAAATCATCGAAAATCATCATATGGAGTACTATCTGAGGCGATCTGCGGTTGTATCGGGTTGTATGTAATTATGGGTTAAATTCGGTTAAATTAGTCTTTATGTGGTGTTCGGTTGTGTTCTCCAGTCGTCTCCAGTGCTAACGAGTGCTAATGTATATGTTTGCATTTATTTATTTATTGATTAGCTTACGCTTTTTGTATGTGTACATTTGATTCGTGAAAGAGGTGCAAGAGTCTCAAGCCTTAACATTTCTCCGATTACTTAAAATTGGTTGCAATCACTTATAAACTAATTACAATCCTTTTATGTGCATGGCAAGCCTTTTTTTAAAAATATTAACATTGTTTGTATTTCTTAAGTCAATAGGGAGCTCATTGAATAACTTAATACCATTATATAATAAACATTCAAAACAAACAGGCAATCTGATTTCGTTTCTATTTCTTGTGTATCTGTTGTGGAATTCATGCGTGTATCTTATTTTGTTACATAGGTAGTCGGGGACAAGAAAGTTTTTCATTTTGAAGACGAGTAATATTACATTATAATTAATTCTTTGTGTCACACTCATCCAGTTTAACGTATTTAGCATAAATTCGGATGAGGTTCTAAAATCACATTTTAATATATATCGCATTGCACGGTTTTGTAGTTTTTGCATTTGGTCAATTTGTTCTTTTGTACAATTTATGTATAACGTTTAGCAGTAGTCGAAGTGTGGTTGTATGATTGCATTATATACGATTTTTCTTAGATCAAAGGTAATTTTGTCCTTAATTCTGTACAGTACATTTATTTTACTAGCTAGTTTGTTTGTCACCATGTTTATTTGTGCATTAAAATCTAATTTCTCGTCTATTTCAAAACCTAAATACTTGATGTTTCTTACTTTTTCTATTGTAGTGTTATCAATTCGTACAGTTAATTCGTTTATGTTATTTCCATCATCTTTGTCAATTACCATCCATTTGCTTTTGCCAGTGTGTAATTTTAATTTATTCGATTTAAGCCATTTTACGATTTTTTTTAATTCACGGTTTGCTATTTCGACTGCCATTTCAGCATTTTTATGTTTAATTACTAACCCGGTGTCATCAGCGAATAGAAAGATTTCCCCTAAATCAGGTACCTCTGTTATGTCATTTATGTATAATAGGAACAGGTAAACGCTTAACTGTGTACCCTGTGGGAGCCCAATAGGAACTTCCAAATCATTTGACAATGATCCCTTGAATTTCGTGTGCTGTTTTCGTGCTCTCAAGAAATTTTCAAACCATTTTAGTTCAGTGCCTGTGATACCGAATTTTTCTAATTTCTCTAACATGATATTTCTATCGACCATTTCAAATGCTCTCTTTAGATCCAGGAATACTATTACGATTTTGTCGCCTTTCTCTCTACTAATTTTCCAGTCTGCTATGAGATTATTTAACGCAGTCTCACACGAGTGATTTGATCGAAAAGCCGATTGGTTTTCCGTAAGCAGGTCATTGTCATTTACGTATTTTAATAATTGGTCTTTAATCAAACATTCGCATATTTTTTCATCAATTGGCAATTCATTTATTGGTCTGAAATTCGAGGCAATATTTGTGTTTGAAATTTTCGGAATAGGTGTGACAGTCGATATCTTCCCTAGGGGCTTATGACCATTCGAAAAAATTTGAAAATTACGTTTTATTTATGAAATATCTAAAATCCAATAAATATTTAATGAATAAATATTGCATTCGCACGAATTTACGTTAAATTTGAAACATTTACACACATTCATTTACATTCGTGAGGTTTTTCGTTGAAATCTAATAAACTGTAGTAGAACTTCCTTTATTGCACATTCGGAACACTAGTACTACATTGAGCAGTATAAAGTGTCAGAAATAAAAAATGAAAGGTTAAAATATAACTAAAATTGCCGTTTCAATGAATAATCACAACTGCATTTTTGAAATCACAACTGCAAAAAAAAACAACAACAGCAGCTTAAAATAGCCATTGTTCAGTGTTCAGTAAAAAATGTGAATTTCTGTACAGTGTACGAATATTGCATATGTTCTGAATATTTTTACAAATGCTGTGAATGTTATGAATATTCTCTGAATATTCTCTGTACACTGTACACAGAAATTTGATTTTATTTTTTTTCTTTGTAAGAATATTCATAACATTCACAGCATTTGTAAAAATATTCAGAACATATGCAATATTCGTGTCAAATTCCGATATTTGAGTAAACATTTAGATATTCATTCGACTGAATTTTTTGTCATATGCCCCTAGTATCTTCCATAGTTCAGGGAAGATTCCTAGTTTCAATGACTCATTTATTGTGCTAGTTAGAAAATAGCCTATATATTCAATGGCGTCGTACCAAACCATTGAATTGCATAACTGGCTTTTGTTCACTTTTTTGGTCAGATATTTCGATGCTTCTATGACTTCATCGATTGAAACTTCTCTGAATTTGAA